CTACCTTTCTTATTAACCTTTATGAATGGTGAATCCAGATTTTTCCCAGTCTGATGATTCTCAGGGAGAACTCACAGGATTCAGCTGGTGTACACTCATGGCCAGGACCAAATACCACATCAGAATCCAAAGCGAGCTTGGCAGAAGCAAAGGAACAGGACAGTGCAGCCAGGAGGAAGCCAGCACAGGCCTCCAGGAGTGGCCACCCCAGCTTCCCCAACGGGGCAGTGACAGAGCACAGGAAATGCTGCCTACCATGGAAACTCATCGGGAACTCAGGCCCCAGTGTATGTTCATGGCCACATAGAAACCCTGGGACATAAAATTTTCTACTTTTGGAGGCAAAATAAAAGCTCCATAAAAATCACATTGCTATAATAAATAGTTCAGGCCCAGCAAACTACTCTTTTCATTTAGAGTGGCAGGAAATGTCTTGAGAACCAAGTTCCCAAAGAAAAGCTTTATAAATCTTTCAAGGAACAACTCAGGTCTCTTAGGCTCATTCTTTCTACACAAATTGTACATGTCATTGTGTAATAATCAGGCAGAAGGAGCAGAAGTACAACTATTACTCCCAAGAGCATAAGGAGAGTCTTTGATTTTTGCTGTCACCTGCTTGCCTTCTTTGCCCTGTACTCAAGGACGTGCCCTCCATGCCATCAGCACCGTCCTGCCAGTCCAGGGAATGGCATCTTGAATTGGTTAAGTAAATAAATATATGAAAAGTCAGTGAAGTTGCCAAGTTTGCTTCACTCTCTTGTCTTTCCTGAATAAATTTACTGGAAACTATGGAATTGTGTTCTCATTATTAAAAGAAAAATACCAACCAGTCTTTCTGTTTAACTTGGTATTTTCTGGCTCTCGCACACGCAGTCTCCTCCACCTGGCAAAGCCTGTGGGTCTCTTTTAAATGCACAAAATAAAATACAGGACTGTAAAGAAAACACTTAATATCTAAATCAGATTATCAAAGGATCTTAAATCAATTTATAATATAGTAATCTATGGGCTTCTTTATTAACACAGCAATATAGCAGTAGGTCTAACAACTACAATAATTTTAAAGTGATGACATGTTAAATCATTTTAGGATATCTTTAACAAATATAAAATGATCTAAACACATTTATGATTATTTTGGCACTTCTCATAACACTGTAGTTACCAGCATTCATTACTGAAGAAAAGCTAACCTTCAGCAATAACACAGGTAAAATAACCATGTAATAATTTTTCTCATCAACATTTACAGGGCCCAGGTAAAAACATTAAGTTTCTGGTACCATGAGATCATGAGTTTATTAAGTTATGCCATTTATGCAACATCAAGGGACCAATAACAAACAGTCCTGGTTTTGCTTCTGAATTTTTAGCACAAAATTTTTTTGACAAGTCAAAATAAATTAGCAAGCTAATACGATTTCACATATAATTCATACTTCTGGCTTCTCTGAGGGAAAAAACAAAATCAAACAAGCAAAAAAAAAAAAAAAACCCATTAAGACCACACAACATTAACCTGGCTTTTCAGCAAGGAAATTTATAGCCAGGCTAAGCAGCAGCTGCTCCTTCTACCTACAGTAGGAACCTAGCAGTCTCCAAAGTAACTGCGAGCCTTCCTTCCCTCCGTGTGCTGGCTGCCCGGCTCCCGCAGTTCTCCCTTATTTATGTAATTTTCTGCTCATGATAGCTCTTTGCCTGGGTAGCAACTAACAGAGATTTGTTTTCTAATGCAGAAGGACAGAATTCTCTCTGTATAACTGCTGCTGTCCCATGTCTACTCTCAGTCCTTGGTTTTCAGCAGGTAACATGTTGGAGGCCCACAGACAGTCACTAGTTTTGTACAAGATGTTTTATTGGAACACAATCATATTCATTTATTAACATATTACTTATGACTGCTCTTGTGGGTTGAATTTTGTTCCCCTTCCCAATGTCATGAAGTTTAGAAGATAATTAGATTTAGGTGAGTACATAAGGGTGAGGCTCTCCTGATGGGATTAGTGTCCCTGTAAGAAGAGACATCAGAAAGCTTGCTTGCTCCTGTCTCTATCACGTGAAAACACACAGAGAAGTTTGTGATCTGTAAACAAGAGAGCCCACACCAGGAAGCCAAGTTGTGCAGAAACTTGATGTTGTACTTTACAGCCTCCAGAACTGAGAGAAATAAACTCCTGTTACTGTCCCTATAAGGCAGCTGCTTTCACAGTGTACTACAATGTTGAGTAGTTGAGACTGACCCACAAAATCCAAAATACTCTCTGATCCTTGAGGAAAAGAAAAATTTGCCAACCCCTGCACTAGTTTTTAGATGAAACTGGTAGCTACTACTCCAGAATTGTTACACAGAACAGTTTAAAGATGGTTCAAAGGATCCATGTTTTCATACTGGGCATTGTGATTTCCCTAATGGATGCTGGTAGCTAAAGAACTATCCTATTTCTAACTACGAGTGCACTAAAAGTTGAACACTACACAACTTTTCCCTGAACCACTGTATAAACTTAGTAGAGTTGGAAAGTTAAGGTCAAAATCTACTTCCCTTATCTACCAGGAGTGTATCCTTAACCAGTGTCTAGAAGGGTGATGTGATTCGTAGCATGCTAAGAATATAATTATGCCTATACAATTGACAAAAATGCTCAGTATAATAATGTTTACAACAACAGCCACAAGAACAAAATATTTTCTATTAATAAATAAATATGGAATAAAGTGAATGAGTGACTGAGACTCTCAATATATGAATTTATCCATATATGAAATATGGTTGTAGAAACCAGTGGTTACATTGACAAGCTAAAGCAGTATGGTAGAGTTCATGAAAGTTCAGGAATTAGAATCACCAGACAGGAAGTCAAATCCAGGAGGATCTATATCTTACCTATAAAGTCTCAGTACCAGTCTTAGAATCTCAACCTCCTGATATACTGCATTATGTGTGGGCTGTGAACATTTAATATCACTATTGTATGTAAACTAGCACTCAAGTTCCTGGCTATTTAAAATAGGCTCTCAAAAGGGTAGTTTGCATTACTAGTCACTGGAAGACATTTTAGCATAGTTTCACTTTTCCTGTTTTTCTGAGAATATAGTGACACTAACAGTATACCCTGTTCCCACAATTTGCCAAGTTATTGAAACAATCCATCAAAAGCGACAGAACTGAGATTATTTTTTTTAAAAAGTGACACTCGCTGTAAAAGGGAATAGGTTATAAAGTGAAGAAGCCATTTGATGGAAGTCAGCACACTGGTGCCTATGGAGATAGACATGCATTCCTAGGTCCTATTAAAACAAGATAAAATGAAACAAACACACAAATAGTCGGCCTTGAGCTTGTCTTCCTAGGAGAGGCAGCCGCACTGGTATGTGCACCAGGTTCTCTTCACTAATGAGTGTGAGTCTATTTGTCTATGCAAGACGAAAACAGGCAATAGAGCTTTGTGATGAACTCATTATAGAGAATCAAAATTTACTTCCTACTGGTGGTTTGTTTTAATTATCTTTCTTTGAGACCCTGCAATGCAAAAGTGTCAACTGGCTACCTAATATTAACCTCTCTAGCCCTGAGGAATAACTGCCTGTTTTTTTTTTCACAGGATTACTATAAATATCAAATGAGATATAGTGTTAACAATGGGTTTCATTTATACAAACAAATAAGATATGTCCCAAAGACTTCAATGGCAATAGATAGGGGCTTTGATAATCTTGCAGACTGGGGAGAACATTTCAAATCTGACAAATGTTATTACCTAACAGGCTGCTTGAAAATAAGCAACTTGAAACTTCAAAAAGTAGAGCAGAGGCCAAACAGACTCTGAACTCCCTAATGAACAAGTAAGAAAATTTATATGTGGCAGCTTCTGCTGTGCCCATCCCTGTCTTGATATATTATTTGTGTTTCACACAATATTCACATTTAAAGGATCTCAGCAAAAGAATTCTGTGTTCAGTCTGATGTTAATGATTATTTTTTGACAAAAAGTATAAGCTGGAAATGTTGTTCAAATATAGATGAAATGTTTTTCAAATATAGATGAAATGTTGTAATACAGCCAACATGAATACCATTCCTGCTTCTCTTGTCTTCTCTTAGAACCCTGAGTAGTAATCACACTGACTTAATTATTTCAATTCTATATTGCTACAGTACAGACATTATTTTGGCTCTTGGTTTGATGGTTTTCAACCATATTAACAGCAACAATTGTTTTTTGAAGGGGTCGCAGAAAGAAAAGACAGTTATTTAAAAATACTTCTGGATAGTCAGGCAATCATCTTAAATTCCTTAAGTGCAGTTATTCAAACATATATTTCATTTCTGGCAATAAAAGAACCCTAGCCAATGCCCAATGACCTATAAAAATTAGAGCTACGAGATTTCTTTATGCAAATTAAATTTGTGTCACACTCATCAAAAAAAAAAAAAAAAAGAAAAGAAAATGGTAATGAAGATTAAATTTGCAGCAACACCGTAAAGTATTCCTATACCTATTTGTAGGAAATGTCAGTGTGGCTAATTAATTTTTGAGATAGTGTTCTGTGAAAGAATTAATGGAGAGTAAGATTTGTGAATTGATTATTAAATGAGATGAAGGGTTTAAAGAGAGCTGAGAATGCAGTCAACTGGATTAACCTTAACAGGTTTAAACAAATATATACATATTAAAGTAAAATACATAGGTATTCATTTTATGACAGTATTATAATTAACTATGGCATTAGATAGTTTAAAGTTCATGTGTTCTTTTCAAGTTTGTTTTTCAATTTGCATCTCAAAGGATAAAGGTCAAATATTAACTTATATAATTAGGGTGCCATTTTCTCTTAACAACCAAAATATATATGCCGGCAAAGAATACTGTATAACTTTATATTGATGAGTGTACAGTGGTTTAAAACAAGATAACTTTCTCATTCCTCAGCTAATACAGCATACATAAGACACTAACCCTATAGATATGAATAAGGGAAGGTAAATTTGGACAGCATACCCGTTTCCTTAGATTGCAGGTCAGAGTGAGGTTCCTTGAGAATGAGTTTGCAAAAGCTGTATAAAAGTCCAGAACTTTGAGCAAGGCTTCTCGCTTGATGATGTGCAGGTCACAGTACGTCAGAGCCCGCACGTTTGCGCAGGCATGAGCAAGGGTGGTTTCCTTCCAGAAGATGTCTCCAAATACGTCGCCTTTTCCTAGAAAACAGTTTAAGACACACCCTCAGTACCTACAACACTTTTCATCACAATTTCTGTTCAATTTCAAAGCGGCATTGATCCTAGCCTAATCTCAACCTGAGAACACAACCTCATTTATATACACAACACGGTGCCCCATTTCACATAGTAAGTAAACTAGCGTTCCCCTGAATTTAGTACATGATGGAACTCTGGTATGGCATGAAGAAAGATAAATCAAGAGAAAGACCAAAAAATCTCATTTTAACAAATAACTGCATTATCTTCTATCATTTTAACTTTTTCTATTCTGACCAAAAGGAGCAAAAATAACTTTTACTCTTATCCTTTGTGCTCCCTCTGTAATAGATAACAATAAAATGAAACGTACACAGATATGCAGTCACAGTCTTTATATATCAAGACCTGAGGCAACATATATTAAGCTACATTGTTTGGTACCCAAGTATTGTGCTCAAAGCAGAGTAAAACTGGCCTGCCTCAGTCTCCAAAAGATGCCCTTCCTTCTGCACCTGTCCAACCTTACATAGGTTGCAGGGAACATGCCAAGAGCTTCTCATCTCTAAGTCTAACCCTAAGGACTTGAGCTGTGTAGAACATGGAGGCACAGATATGTGATAAACTGTCCCATAAAGAAAGCTGCACTATATTCAAATGTAGATGGCTTTTTTGAAAACTAATGCAAATTCTATATTCTTTCCAGAACATCATCCTCTGGTGGCCTAGACTCAATCATTTTCCATCCCAAATCAAGAGTACTTAGTTACTCAAATAAAAGGAATGACGTAAAGTCCAATGTCGGAGGTCCCCAAAGGCTCTTCTGAGTTGCCCAGAAGTGTAGGCAACTTCTTTCTTTGATTTCTGTGGGAAAATTTTAAAGTGAAAAGGGAGGAGGAATATATCCATGGGGGAAAAGCCTGCCTTGAGACACTCTGGATGATTTGTTCTTTCCGTGCTGTAACTAAGGAGATGCACAGGTATCTGTGCACATTATGTAAATTAAAATCAGAATTAAAGAAAGAAAGAAGATATAATCCTTCAAGATAATCATACCATCAAAGAAAAAGATAGTATAATCAGAGAAATAAGAGAGGAAACCAAAGAGAGAGGTTGCATACGCTACATTATTGTTCCCTTGCTCAAAAGAGCAGCGGGGAAGCTCTTGAGAACAGGAACCAGGTTCTGTAAGAAGCCCTGGAGAGTGGGAGACAGTGAGTGTCTTGCACAGGAAGTGGTCAGGACCACCATGTGATCACCGTACAATAGCCACAATAGAGGTTTAATTAATTTTAAGTAATTCATTTCTCTCTGGACTCTCAAAACAATTTCTTTTGGCTACTAGCTTTGATGAAAGGCTCAAGGAAAGATCTAACAGCCACACCTTTGTCCAAGAAAGGAGTAATTACAGACTCAAGGACTCCACAGTGTCATGAAAACCTAAGGAAGACCTCAGCTACAAAACCTTAAGACAGCACCAACAACTTTTTACCCAAATGCGTTTCACAGACCTTCACATGGCATTTTCTTTGAACTAGTAATTCCAATTGTAAGTTAATTTTGCATTATGAAACTGCCAAGTTTAATTACAAAAATGCTCACTGAAGTGATATTGGTAATTGTCCAGTAAAGTACAATAAGAGAAGGGTCAGTGACTAGATACATTATAAAGTATTAGGCAGCCAGTAGATAGCATAGATTTTTAAAATGACATGGGAAAATACTCATCTAAAATAAAAAAAGCAGAATATTAAACCACACATACAGTTTAATACTATTTTAGATTCCTCACACTCACACAATCTACATAAATACACACACACACACACACACACACACACACACACACACACATAGAAAGAGAGAGCATGGATGCAAAGGTATGAAAGTGGTAAGTTCTCTTTGCCTATGGGACAGTGGGTGGGTTTTGTCTAATATTGCATGTATATTATTTTATAAACAGAAATTATTAATAGTTTTTCATTGTTTCCAATGCTACAAAAATTACAAGCTTTTAACAGGCTGTTTTTATTTATGTCATGTTTCTTTCTCTTTAACACTAATATTACTCTTTCTATCTTTTGTTTTTACGTTTTTCTTTTTCCTTAAATGAGTCTTTCAGACTCATTTCTACGACACTTTTTCAAATTGCCAAGTATAATGAACTCTCTGATCCATTTATAAACACTCACTACTTTTCAACCATTTGATTTTCATGTATGGTACACTTTAATAATTTCTTTCACTCAGACAAAAAAAAAAAAAGCAAAAAAAAAATTAAAAAGGGGCCTGGGGATTTAGCTCAGCGGCATAAGCACCTGCCTTGCAAGCAGGCAGTCCTGAGTTCGATCCCCGGTACCGATAAAAAGGAAAAAGACCAAAAAAAAAAAAAAAAAAAAAAAAAAAAATTTCGTTACTCAATAAGTTCACTTCTGGAAGTTAATCCAAAGATTAAAACAAACATACATAAAATTCACAGCAATGTTATTGAGCACACCCTAGATGTTAAAAAAACTAGACATCCAAAAATAATGGAAATTACCAAAAAAAGTATCAATACAGAATGAAAACAAAGTTTGAAATAACATGTAAAAAATAATTACCTTACATTGGTAAATCAAAACATAATACAAAGAATGGTACTATTATAGTAACGACTATAAAATGAAAGTAAAGTACCAAAAGGTTAACAGAATATGAAAAAACATACACTTTATCTTTTTTCTTTATTTTTTTTTTCTTTTTTGGTACCGGGGGTTGAACTCACAACGTCGCGCTTGCCAGGCAGGCACTTATGCCGCTGAGCTAAATCCCCAGCCCTACTTTATCTTTTCTTTAGAAATTTTTTCTTGATAAAACCAAACTATGTGTTATAATTATATTCTCATATAAAGTATTTTACCATGTTAATTTGCCAACTGATAATACATTGAGATAAAGGACAAAGTGATACAAAGATAGAAATAATTACATTTAAAAAACAGCAAAATTAGCTGGGGGTTTAGCTCAGCGGCACAGGCACCTGCTTGGCAAGCGCAATGTCATGAGTTCGATCCCCAGTACCAAAACAAACAAACAAATAAACAACAAGAATAGTAAAACTGGCTTCAAGTGGTATGTTAACTAATTTCTGAGTACTGTTTTCTGAATTTTCCTATGATAAATCTGCATAAACCTCATTTAAAAATAGCAAACTGTTTTAAAAGATGTTTCCTTATATTTTAATAACATGAAATCCTAAAATATACATATAGTTATGTAGAATGCTGCATTAATATTCATTGATGGCTAAATAAGTAGTCTGAAGATAGTTTATACATAAATGTAGTTTGCCCTATCAATATAGATCAGAGTTAGCTATAGCATGTGTCCAATAGCATGCTCTTTGCTTTTTGGTTTTTTTTTGTTTGTTTGTTTGTTTGTTTGTTCGTTTGTTTTCGGTACCAGGGATCGAACTCATGACCACCTGCTTGCAAGGCAGGTGCTTACGCCACTGAGCTAAATCCCCAGCCCCCAGGCTCTTTTTGTTAAAAGCTCTTAAAGGTTTTTATTGAAAGCTCTGAAAGGTGTGCCACTATAGACCATTTTTAATTGTGGAGGCATTCAAATACACATTACACTTTTATTTTATCTAATGGATGAAATTAAAATTCTGATCCTATTTCTACCCAAAAGTTTAAGATATTAATCTATCTTCTCGGTATTATGGGGAAATAAATCTCTGATGAGGAACGAGTAATAAAAAACTCATAATAAACTTCATACCCTGCTTCTCTCCCCCCAAATTTAGCAAAGCACTGCAAAATCAACAAATGTGGCTAATTTTACTCAAAACATCATAATTTACTTTAATAATGAGCAATAATAACTACTTCATGACCCAAATTTCCATTAAGATATGAAACACATAAAATGGATATGAGTCTATTCAGTCATTTCAAAATATGTTCATATTTTTCAGCTTTCTATATCACCTAATGAGTACTCAGTTCACAACAAACTTCATGGCACTGCTGTGCAGACAGGTATAAATCCATGAATGACTTTACCAAATGTGGCAAGGCTGGCTAATGTCCTCCTTCAGGAAATACCAAGGATGTTTATGTTCATCTGCAGAAATCGCAGGTTGTGGAGACATGGGATTACATATGAACACCCAATAAAGAAGTGCCCTTTCCTTTGCTGCAAAAACTTTGCATATTTTGAGGACTTGGAACTTTATTTATTTTCGTGACTATAGAGTATCTGATGTTTGTTTTTAGGTCAGCTCCTGTCAGGTGCAAGTAATCTCAGCTATAAACATTTTAGAGCTTGAGTAAACTAACCTCACTCAAACCCCTAAAATAGGAGACAAACTCGCACCAAACATGAAAGTTGTTGTTTGGCCTATTTATATTTTCTCAGTTCTTTCCATCAAGTCTTATGAAGTATTTCACTGCTAAGCCACAGGAAACTGGACTGTAAAATAGAAGTTAATGTTAAAGGATCATATAGTAGGAAACTGGAAAATTTAAAGACTAAATATAGATAGCTACAACATAATTAAAAGAGTCGTGCAAACAATGGTAAGTGTGTTGATTAAGGTTCCCTACAATGCTGATTTCACAGTCAGATTTATCATTGTGAGATACATTATTTGGTAAGTTAATGACTTGAATATGATTAATGTATAAAATTATTAGCATTTATTCATCAGTCAGTGTAACTAATTAATATATCCCACAGGTCCCTAATAAAGTATAACTAAAACTTTACTTTAGTGGTTTTCTGTGTTTTGGGGTTGTATAATGACTATATTTGATGATTCTTCTGCACAATGTATTTAATTCATGTGCAGTGTTCTCTCTTTTTAAAAAAATTTTATTGTACATATCTGAATTTTATGTGTGATGTTGTATGGTACATATAAATAGTAAAATGGTTTCTAAAGTGAAGCAAAGCGACACGGCTATCACCTCACTTCTTTTGTGTTTATATGTGAAACAAGAGCAATTAATATC